AGAAGAAGGCAAATTATTTTTCCCTCAGCCTCTGTGTGACAGCAGCAACTGTTCTGTATGCAACAGGGAAAGATCCAGCAAAGATACAGTGATTAGTAACAGCAGTTATCTGCATTGGAGGTGGTGTGTGTGTGAAAGTAAGAGGCAAAGGACACAATGGAAAAGAGCTCAGACAATAACATGACCCTCCTGAAGACTGGAATAATAGCTGTATGGATGTGTTCAGAAGAGAGGAAACAAGATTTCTGTATGATCAAGAAAAGAAGGTGCTGAAGCACAAATCCAAAAGCTGAACAGCAAAATGGATGAATTAAATGTTCATGTGAAGCACAAGTCAATATTCTGAAACTGACCATTCATTCTAAAATACTCTCTACCACACTTCAGATAACTATGGTGCTTTCCATTGCTAGTGCTAGAGCTTTTTTTGAGTCCCTGGAATATATAAAAATGAGTACAATTTCTCACAATTTCTCATAAGTTTGCATGTACCCTGTTTCACAATTTAGGTTGTGACATAAGTGTCCACTCATTTCTAGGCTGTTGGAGTTTTTTTGTTGTTGTTTTCTTGAACAACTACTGCCTTTCTGTACCAAGTATCTATATTTTTCCACTCATACTTAATATAATACTACATGATATTGCTGTCCTCTATGTTACACTATTTTAAATTACCTGTCACATGGTAATGCTTGATATAAAAAATAATATTTATTTATATAAAAGTGTAATTCAGACAAAATCTTGATTATTTACTTACAGTCTTACCACAGAAAAAAATACAATAGACAAGCGAAAAATAAACAAAAAAGAATATAAGCAAATTTGAAATTTGGTAAATAAAGGTGAAAGATACATATACCTTAGCATCAGGTACTGTTTTCTTCTAGCTCATTTCATTAACAACAACAAAAAAATGTATAGAATTTGTCTATTATATTTTCTGGTGCAAGTCAATCAAGACAGAAGACAATGGAAGAACAGATGACTTGCCCACCACTTCAGTATATAGAAATGCATACTAGCAACACATGTTTTTCAATATTTCAGTTGATGAGACAGTCACTAGCTAAACATATGTGAAAACATGTATATGAAAGGATCAAAATTCACAGATGAACATACAGAAATACTAACTACTACATTAGTAATTCATTAAAAGGTGAACAAGCAAGTACATACCATACCTGTAAACCCAGTATATAGACCAATGTCTTGTTTGTGATAGAAAAGTGGCCTAATACTTGTCTCACCTGCACTCTTGGAATGGAGGAATAAAATGGTACAAACAGTGCAAACACAGGACCCAAGCTGCAAAAAGACAGACAGAGATGGTTAATAAGAATGACAGTAGCAACAGTAGTGTAAAAGAATCAAAAGTAATTAATCCTATGTATATAACGATCAAAATGTAATACCACTTTGCAAGCAAAGGTCTTTTTAGGGAAGCATTTATTAGGTAACTTGTGGCATTCAGGTTAATAGATTCATTAGCAAATAATGAACCACTAGTCTTCAGCATATACCCTTGCAAAGAAGAAACAGGTGACAAAAACTATCTTATTTCCAAACGTTTAGGACTGGAGGCAGCAGAGAAGGCAACATATTTAGTCTAATAACATACTGTTTCTATAAAATACAGCACACAAGAACAGCAGGAGTTTCCTGCATCAGAACAAAACTTCCATGAGCCAAGCAGACAAACAGTATGGACACAAAAGGTCATAGAAACCACTTCACTTCTGAGGTTAAGCTTCATATTCACCCAGGTTGAAGGTATGAGAGGATTGCTGATAGCGTGCAGTATCTAAGATCACAGAATCACAGAATGGTAGGGGTTGGAAGGGACCTCAGGAGATCATCTAGTCGAACCCCCCTGCCAAAGCAGGGTCCCTACAACAGGTGGCACAGGGAAGCATCCAGGTGGGTTCTGAACATCTCCAGAGATGGAGACTCCACAGCCTCTCTGGGCAGCCTGTCCCAGTGCTCTGGCACCCTCACAGTAAAGAAATTTTTCCTTAAGTTGGTACGGAACTGTCAGTGTTCCAGTTTTTGCCCATTGCCCCTTGTCCTGTCACTGGGTACTACTGAAAAAAGTCCTGCCCCATCCATTTGGCCCTCACGTTTCAGATATTTATAGACATTGATAAGATCCCCAGATGGGAATATTGGCAATTGGATTTATCTTCCTTTTGCCAGTGACTTTGCTACAAATAACTAACTTTCTTTAGGGTCCTCACCCTAACTGCAGCACAAATTTACTAAGTTTCTAAACCCTCACTGGAAGCAGTTTCATAGAATTTAAAACTCAAGCACCCTTTACAATGACCAGATACCTAGACTGAACTTGTTGAACATACATAACCAGAGCATTTCATGTGCCCAGACACAAACCCTGTGTTCCCCATGATAAAACATCCAGAAAACCAAACCATATATTAAAAACAACAGGAAAGGCCACAGCAGAGCCAATGCCAAAGGCAGGGATATGGATGACTCTAGAAGAAAAGTACTTCCTAGGATGAAGAAAGGGTGGGAAAAAGGTCACTCCAGGTAGACATGACCTGTTCCACTGGTGGAGCTGGTGACCTCCAGGCAGGAAGCTGCAGGCAGCAGGAGCAGGCAGGGGGAAGCTGTGTGCACAGCGCACATCTCCCCCAGCTGCATCCTTGCCTGTGGGTCTGTGCTGCCCTGTGCCTGACAGGCGTGGGATGCTGCACGGGGTAATTCCTCACTGCTCACCAGCTTATCAGAACTTTCAGAGCTGCAGTTGCCACAGGCCTTGACACAAAAGGGATCACTTTATACTCAGTGGGAATTCTACAAAGAGCACAAAGCAGGACCCAAATAATTTAAAGTGTCAACTCAAAACTACATTTTCCTTCTGCAGGAGCTACTGATAGGAGCAATACCATGTGAAATGATGGTCCCAGTACTAAAACTTACATTTCCAAAATAACTGCCAAATGCAACACCCACAGCTATGACAAAACCCCCCCTTCAAATATTACTTTTACTCATTTAATAGGCTGTGGCTTAAGAGCATTTCATTATCATTTTATTTGTTATATTTGAAGTTCAGCTTGCTGAAAAGCTTAATCTCTGAGGACTTAAATAGAGTTTAGTTATACAAACATTTTTAGTACCATCCATGCAACACACAGTCAGAGGCACTTGAAGGTATAGAGAATGCTAACTCAGAACTACTGAAAAATGTTCAATTTTGCACATAATCCTTCTTACATAAAAACTCCACCTGTATAAACACACACAACAATTCTTAAAATAAATTCAAATTTTTTAACTTGTAGGAGTCGATAAGCACAGCGGTAAGTGTGCCACATACAAAAATAATTCTTCATCAGAAGTGCTTTAATTGTAGACAATATTCACTGAAGTAAATCAGGTGTTATAAGTGAAGAGAGAAGAAAAACAAAGAAAAAAAGATCTTCTCCCATCTTAGAAAAGTACCTTTATATGTTTTCTTTCTACTCTTACCAAATGACTCGAGGGAGTAACAAAATTGTGGCACGCTTTTCAGGTTTTATTCCTCCTGTGATAAACAGTGACTCAGACACAGAGATTTCACATACAATAGTGCGCTCAATCTTAAGATGGGAAAGTACAAAAAGGAATTACCCATGACTGCAAACCCATTTTAAAAAGAGATCAGAGCATGTTGAAAGGTTCCTTAAATATTCATGTTCACCATTAATGTCAACAGAGACCATAGAAAGAACCACCCCAGTCCAGGGTAGTGATCAGTGTAACTCAAAGTCCAGTGTCTGGCACTGCTCAATACCTGGCAATCTGGAGGAGCTAGAGGAAACCTAGTGATGGACCTTTTCATAAGTTCGTAGGCACCACAGACGTACGCCTCCAAAGACATGGGGTTTGGTTTTTTAGACAGAGTGCACATCTAGCATAAATAGGTATTACACAAATATCAATTCAGGTATCTTTTTTTAGAAGTGTCAAAACTAGCACCCTTCAAAATATTCGGTGAAACTCATTTGTACAGGCGACTCCACTGTGTGAAAATTTATTCCGACCAATTTTAAACTTTCTCCCTCAACTTTCATTATATAATTCTGTACCTTGACTTTGAAAATTTCAACTAATCTTTTCAGTTGCCTTCAAAATTTTCTATACATCACTCATGTCTTGTTTTAGAATATCTATATGGAGATGCTGCTTATCTACAGCAGTGGGTCTGTCAGAAGTTACCTGGAATATGACTGACATAGTTACAACACTGGAATATGACTGACATAGTAAGGGACAACAAAGGATGGCTAAGGAAAATGAGGACCCACTGCTTAATGGAGAAAGGGACCTAGTGAGAAAGGACATGGAAAATGGCAAGGTACTCCATGTCTATTTTGCCTCAGTTTCCACAGTTTAGTTTGCCCTCAGGCCTCTCAGGTCCCCGAGCCTCCTGGGGGACCAGAGCAACATCTCCTGTAAAGGAAGACAGGAAGCTCTTGAGTCTGACTGGTCATACAAGAGTCAATGGGAGCAGCTGGGATGCACCTCAGGACACTGAGGGAGATGGTCAATATTATTATCATTAAAACATCATGGTGATCAGGGCAGGTTCCTGATAACTGGAAAAATGCAAATGCCACACCCATCTTCAAGGAGGCCAAGAAGAGGATTCAGGTGGCTACAAGCCTCACCTCTGTCCCTGCAAAAGTTATAGAGCAAAACCCCTAGAAGCCATTTCTAGCCACATGACAGACAAGATGATTGCTAACAGCCCCCATGGATTTACCAAGGATGACTCTGGCGCTGTGGACAAGGAAGATGAAGGCAGCAAATGTTGTATGCTCTGACTTTAGGATGGCCTTTGACTCAGTCTCCCCTTGTGTCCTTGGAAAAAAACTGGGGAGATGTGGACTGCATAAGCAGACTCAGGGGAAACTGACTGCACTGTTGGACTCAAAGGGTTCTGACCAGCAGTACAAAGTCCAAGGAGCAGCCAGTTACTGGTAGCCTCTCTCAGGGATCCAGAGTGGAGCCAACACTATTTATTGTCTTTATTAACGACCTGGATGATGGACAGAGTGCACTCTCAGCAGGTGAGTGAATGACATCAAATTGGAGGGAGCAATCAGCACTTTGGAAAGCAGGGCCACATTCAGACACTCCTTGATGGGCTGGAGAAATGGGCTGACAGGAACCTTACATAGTTTAACAAAAGCAACTGTGGAGTCTTCCACCTGGGTCGGAATAACCCTGTGTAGTGGTATAGACTGGCTAGAAAACAGATTTGCAGACAAGGAGCTGGAGAATCCTTTGAGTGTTGATCAGCAGCTCCCGCCTGCAGGAAAGGCCAGCTCCATCCAGGGATAAAGAGCACAGTCATCAGGCCAAGAGAAGTGATTGCTCAGCACTTCTGAGCCTGAACCTGAATCACTGTGACCACTTTTGGGCTCCTCGCTTCAAGAAAGGCATTGACATACTGGAGCAAGTCCAGTTGGGGATAATGATGGTCCAGTACCACACCAGGTTGCTCAGAGGCAGAATCTACATCCTCAGAGATGCACCCTGGACACGCAGCCCTAAGTAACCTGTTGTTGTCGGACATGCTTTGGACTCAGGGTTGAACTAGGTGACTGCCAGAGGTCCTGTCAAACCCAAGCTATTCTGTTACTCTGTGAATAATCAAAGCCTTGTTCCTGAGGCTCATAATCACTGCACAGATTTCTGTTCCTGTAGTTCACTAGACGTGCACAAACATCCATCCATGTACTGTAAATATAAGGACTGGTTCTTAACTATTTTAATTACATTAATTAATTGTTTGGTAACATATAGTCAGATTCAACACCTACAAGTGGAAAACATACTCTTATTGAAGGACTACTTCAATTCTCTCTTTTCCCTCACTTTTCTCTTTTCCTCTTATTTTTGCTTTCCTCCTCATCCCTTTTAATCTTCTTTCCTCTACTTTCTCTCCTTTTCCAGAGACCTTCATCTTGGTCCTTTGTTCATTACACTATAAGAATATCAGGAACATCCTTTCAAGTGCCATGGTTAACTTCTACTAGAAACTTGAGATGTCTGTGTGTAAAGGGCTACAGACACAAATACATGCTGACTAAACTGAGTTTATGCCTACTTCATGTTTAGGAAGTTAATTTCAGTCACACCAGTTAGAAAATAAAATTTTCAAACAAAACAGAAAACTCTAAACCCTCAAAGACACATCATATGGACACCAAAAGCCAGCCCAAAGATCTACTGTAACAGCACGTTCTACAACAATTATACCCTCATTTTAAAGGGCATGTTAAATTTTAGCGTTTGCAGTGAAACACAGCAGACCAGATGGGAACATTCTACATTGTATGACATGATGAGACTGATTTTTCACAGAGAAAAAAAAACAACTTGAAGAAACAATAACCTTGAAAAAAATAAACCAGAGACGCAGAAACTACTGGCAGAGAAAAAAAAATCAGGGGCAAGTACTTCTCATAAGAGAAACCTGGTACTTAAAGTTTAAAAGGGTGAATATTAAATGCAGATTAAACATTTTAACATTAGTAAATATATGCACAAAATACAGAAAAAAATGGTTCTAAAATGTATGGACAAATGGGTAGAAAGCTAAATGTTACTTCTGCAAAAATATCTGCTGTTGTCAATGGAAGTTCTGTGGGATTAAATTTGCAGAAATAACCTGTTATTTTATTCAGAATGACTCACTACACTTACTAACTGCGGTCCTGTATTTTTCTTCATTTAAGTTCTTCATAAAAACATTAATCTGACAAATTCATAACCACATTTTTTTGGTGGACTAAAAATATCAGTTATAAAAGCAGCTGCAGATAATACAGAGCATGTAAACTGTGTGCTTGTAATTCAAGTTACTAAGTTACTTCAGTGCTCTGTTTTCCTACAAGCTGTCCAGACATGGCCATATTACACTTTAAGTCCCAGCCTTTATTCTGAAAATGTTAAACATTCTCAACAAGATTCCTCAAAACGAGGTAACGCCCTGGAATATGACCACCCTTGCTAGTTGGGATCCTCTGGCTGACATAGCCCAGGATTCAGAGGAACCATCTATTGCACTCAACCCTTCTGCTACACATGAGTAGGACACCCCAGTGCCTGAGGCCTCTCTATACCAGCAAAAGCATTAGGATACATTAACCAATACTCATTTATCTAACAGCAAATATTTCACAGGAATGCAGGAAGAAAGAGGAAAAAAAAACCCCAAGACAAAACTTGAAGTTGTGCATCTTGAGGGGTAAAGAAAGGTTCCTCCATCCATGGATATCTCAGCAGAATCACTGCAACTTTGGGTTCATTAAAATATCAGACCAACCAACCACTTTACAGTCCCCTCATGAAGACAGAAGTCAGACACCTATCTCTCCTAAAAAAGCTGTAGCTTTTAATGCCCAGATTATCCAACAATTTATTCCATCAGCTGCTCAGCTCCATTGGAAACTAGTTTCAGGTTCCTTTCCCTCCCTTCCCATTGGCAAGCTAATCCAGACTTTTCCTCTTTTGCTGGCTAGAATCTTTCTTCCAATTTCAGTTTTGATTTATTCATCATTAATAAAATGCTAACATATATAAGCACCGCTCTTTATCTTTTTCTAAAAAGATCAGTTAATCGTATCTCCCCTCAATCTTTGTTGTGTAAAGTTGACTTACGGTACCTGACCATTTCTATTCTACCAGCTTGCTGCAATATACAACATAAAATTTCTTCAGTTAGGTACTCACAATACAGTGCCCACTGCGAGCAATTACTGCAGACCACCACAGAATTATTCAGCTTATAGCACTATAAAGATAGTCCTTTATTTAATCTATGATTAGCACGCTGCCATTCATGTGAAGGCCAGAGTATGGGGGTACAGATGAAACAGATGAGTTTGTATAGGAATGACTGGCCAAGCTCTGTGCCACAACTGAGTATCACAGGGACAGCTATTATAAGTTAACTAATAAGTTATTAATGTCACCTAGGTGTTACAGAGTTAGTTACTCGTGCTTACCCACTGGCAGTGTCTGCTCTGTATCAGATGGCTGCAGCAAGTGACTGAAGGTGACAGTTTACCAGGTAGCTTTGCTTTCATGACTGATCACATTAACCAAGCCAGAGTTTGAGTTCAGTGAAAGGGAGGACATTGCACCTTTCTAAAAGGCAGGGCCTCCCAGTGAAGCCTGTACTCGGCTAAGTCTGGCACAGACACAGGAGCAGGCCAGAAGACATATGGAGGCACAAGGAAACATAGAAGGGATGTAGATGGCAGAGTACTTTGTTGAGGAGGTACAGATCAACAGCTGAAATCTTTAGTGTCCCAAATTCATCTGTTTTGGTGCTTAATTTCGTCTTTTTAATCTAGATTAACCTAACACATTTGATTTGGCCTCTGCAGAGCTACCATGACTCACTGGTGAGTCATCATTTACTGTTCCTCTAACTCAAGTCACTTGAGAAATCATGTTTGTCCACAAAAAAAGACAAGATTCACCTGCAGGTTAGTTTTAGGCACCTGAACTGTCTCACAGGGAAGAAAAAAAAAAAAAAAAAAGAGTAAGTTTTGGAAGGAAAGGCAGTTTTGCAGTTAAGAAACAGGCTGGCTGGATTAATCTTCTAGTTGATCCATCGCCACCCTTGGTGACTCAGAAGTAATTTCTTACCTTGTGTAGTAGCTCTCTAGATACGGAACTGTAAAGCTAAACCCAGTACCACTTGTAAACTACTCAAACAGAGTAGGGACTAAGTAAGCAGACAGAAAATAAAACATACCGGTCAAAATACTAACTGCACTGCTTTGATGTCACCACTTCTTAAAGTAACAAATTAGTATATTGATTTACATGCCACCTCCCCTGCATGCCAAAAGCAAAACAGTGAACTTTTGCATGCAAATGGTAAAACCAAACATATATCACTCTTTTTGACACATGCCATTTCTTGGTTTAGATATTCAAATCCTGGGACAATCAAAAAGATATTGGACAAAAAACAGTTGTGTAAGAACAGAAAACAAATAGCTAGAAGATTAAATAGTGAGTGAAAGAATGCAACCTGTATCATTTAGCTCAAGCAATTAATATCATATCATGCTAGGTTGGATTGGTGGCTAATACATCAATGTGACTCAAAGGGTACAATCTAGTAATGTATCTTAGTCAAAGGAAGGCAATATTTTATCAGATCGGAGCAGGAAACACATATTTGCATTATTTTATAATGGTAAGACTATTTTGAAATAAACTTTTCCTTTAATATGAGGCTGTGGTACTAATGTCAGCCCTTGAACAAAGACTACTACATGCCTATGTATCTCAACATTTCCCATTTCTACTGCATATTTTTGCTGCTGGACAGGGAACCACACTGCAGTATTACTTTGTGTAAGTATGAAGCAAGTTCCCTGTGTGCAATTTCCCTTTAAACAGTCTTTAATTCTCATTACTAATTTAAATAGATTTTACTTTGTGATGAAGCTGAATAATTAAAAATAATTTAAAAACAAGAAAGGAAAAAATTGAGAATAAGCCCAGTAAGTTCTCTCCAACACTTTCTGAATCTGGTGTTGGAATATAAAAGTCTTATAAAATCTAAGGAGCTTAAAACCCAACACTGAGACATTCTGCTCCCTGGTATCTAAGGGGAATCAAGCCATGACTGCACTGGGAGTTCACAACAACAACAACAAAAAAATCAATATATAGTGCCAACTAAATGCTCTAAGCATGCACAAAAGTAACTCACAAGGCTCTATTTCATTCTGCTACAGCAAGAACATTTCCCCCTAGGCAAGGTATGTTTAGTAAAAAGTTAACTTTGTCCTGCCATTTACTTTAGGCTTTCTGATGAGATGGACACGTTAGTGGAGATGTATCTCTGCACACCTCCAACACCACAACATCAGCAAACACTTGTGCTGTGAACACGGCTCTCATGTTTCCAAAGAGGCATTTCACCCTCTGTATGGGTTGGACCTGCCAAAAATAGCATCATTGTGCCTACTGGTTCTTTAAAATCAGGCCACTAAATGAGGCCACTTTAAAGATAAATAGTCCTTTGCAAGCATGAACAATCAGTATGAGTTTGGGGGAAATTCCCAGGTAACTCTCAACCACAGCCTCTTAACAGCAAGCGACAGGATTTTCCATCTATCTCTGATCTCCAAAACCCTCATAACAAATACAGAATTTAACTCTTAGGTCAACATTCTTTACCCAGAAACAAGGTTATTCCAGGTAACAAGGGGCTATTTCACAATTTGAAATCTCATTCCTTTCTTATTGCGTAGCCACCTATTCTTATCAATATCATTGCAGCGGTATCAATTTCTGTTTTATAAGCTTTTTATCTTTAATGTTATCTTTTATCTTTCATTTTTAATAACACACCTTACATGTGTGCTATTATTATTATTATTATCCTTGCTCAAAATGCAATCAACAGCTTAGAAAGGCACACATCCTCATTAATCCCTCAAACTGTCAAGAGTTCTTCAACTCCCTCCTATATTTTCAAAGGGCATTTCTGCAAAGCCTCATCATTACGATACTAAAGGGGTGCTGGGAATGCACACGGGCTCTCGAGGCGTCTGTCTTGACGCAGCATCTCCGTGCGCCTCCGTTCTGAGGTTTTTTTGTGCTGTGCCAGATCTGATCAGTGAGAAGCAGCTTTAAAGCCTGTAATGATCACACAGCTCTTTGCTACAAAGTAAATTTAAGTTATTTTAAAATGCAAACGGCACATAAACAAAGTTTTTCACTCGGGGATTTTAGTTGGTCAACAATTAGTCAAGTAAACCTCTGGGTAAAGTCCCTTCTGCGAAAGTCAGTAACGCAAAACTTCAGGGGGGAGGCGGGAGGGTTGTTTCTAATTACTCTCTTTGAACAGGCTAATTGTAAAAGTATTAAAAATAGACGCTTTCACATCCCATAAAACAGTAGGCAGCAAATCAAGACCAGCATACAAACAAGGGGTTTGGTTTGGGTTTTTTTTTAAGCACTTGAAAAAACCTACCCCTCCCACAAGAGACTCACGTAATCACTCTTGAAAACAATGTGCAAGGGTAAACTTTTGCAGTCAAGCCATCCTGCTAATGCCCTGAACTGCTCAGAGGATCCAAGAAGCTACAGATATGTAAGTACAGAAAAGAGTTAACTTTTAATTTTATTTTTTTTTCACTGAAAAACAGCAAACAATTTCAGAAAGATTATTTCTCTTTTGAATTATACTGAATATTTTAATGTGGTAGGAAGGATAAATGATCTTTGGAGGGGAGAGATAAGGCTTGTGGAAGAAATTCTGTGATATTTTATGCTGACATTAATATGCTGCTAGTTAATTTTTATTTAAAGGATCTGTCAACCCACAGCATCAACAAATTATTTCAAGTCGTGTCTTATAACACAGCCTTTCAACAATCACAGGGAAACATTTGATACTGCATTAGCTTACACAGTTATTTTAGCAATAGTAATTTAAATTATACTAATACAGAAATAACTACTGTGCGAGTAGTAAGGGAAGCACTGCAGTTCTCAGTCATTCACTGAACCTCGCAGAACACTTTAATAATAGGAGATCCTTAAAACAAATCTGTATTATGGTTGTGAATGCATAGCTTGCTCTATCACATGTGCTGCCTGTCTATGAAACGGCCTTTATTATCAGCTCAAGAACTCCTCAGTCACTCTTCTCATGTCTAAATATTGCAACAGAATATTTTAAGAATTCAAAATTTTATGAGCTAATTCCTCTTTTACCTTCTGACACACATTCCTTTCAAAGCTTTTAGAAGGAATTCTTTTTCTGAATAGCAATCACCAAATATCTTTCTCCTTACTACTGATCTTCACAAAACTAAAGAAATATTACAACTGATATGATTTTTATACATCTTCTCAATTAGAAAGGATCAATTTTTCCTATTATACTGGCAAAACAAGATAGACTGTACAACAGTCAACTAATATTTATCTTAAAAAATAGAGATGGCATGCATGCCTCTGAGCACAGAATACAAGAGGTCTGTCTAACATTTACATGGCTCTTCCTGAAGAGATGAGGGAACTGAACACTTACCTGGCAACTAGTGTTTTAAGAGCTCAAATCTTATCCCTTTCTGTTCAAAAGACTGAGGAGTATGTATACATGCAATGAATAAAAAAGTTCAACTAGAGTTCTGAAGCTGTAATTCCTAAAACTAAAGACTGTACCTGTACAAGTTACATAACACTCAGAAAAAAAGAAATCATATAAAAAATGTGCAAGTTTTCTAGTACTAAAATACAAATTATTTTATCTTCTGCTTGCAGGAATGTCAGTGGCTCAGGTTTTTATTTTGTTTATTTGCTATATTTTAGGTTCTCCTCTTTTCACATTTCACATACTTAGGCAAGTAACCTGAAGGGAGGTTAATCACCTCAGCATCAGCACGGCTCCTCACATTAACAAGCATCTTTGGCAGAGATGACTCACGTTAGATAGTTCTCACACTTTTCATAGGACGGATCGCGTTTGGAAAGAGACATCCAACAGATAAGGGCGAGACATGTACACTTCAAATTACTTCCACTTTTTCTTTAACTAGTTATGCAGCATTTCAACTCAACTTCTTTATTTCCATTCCGCTTACTTTAGCTTCTATTATTTTTTAGCGCCAAATATAACTGTCAATCAACTTTGAAAAGTTGATAGTAATAGATGAGAGCAGAACCATAAAGATCCCACAGTGTGTGCATCTGCAAATTCTGTTAAGCACTTAATATTGTAATTCTTCATAACCATCATTAAGACAGTTTCATTCATGCATACTTGTGATTCTCTGATGTGTGGCTTACAGATTTGGCTTTAGTATTCCAACAAATTTGGGTCTATACCAAGCACTAGCCTGGAAACTATCTCACCAGAATTAGCCATGGGTTATGTCCTGAGGATTCAGTCTTCAGGTCATTTAGGACACAAAACCCAACAGCTTTTGAAAAAAGGTAAACACACTAGAAGCATATTAGTGTTAAAGTATTAGAAAGAAACAGGAAGCTTTAGGACACGCATGTCTTCTGCCTCAGCTTTTATTAAACCACGTGTAGCCCCTATGCTGCCAATACATACACCTAGATATGTATGCACCTTAGGTATATGGTTTTTCTGTATTAACAAGGCATTCTACTATGCAACTTAGCATGCACTTTTTAACATACATAACTTAATTGAATGAAGCCTTTTTTCTCAAACACAGAAAACACTTCAAAATGAAGATAACTTCTATGGTAAATTAGAACTGCAAACAGTATATGTGATTGGTTAACAGAAAAACAATTACTTTTAGAGATTAAGAAAAAAAATTAAACCTATATAATCACAGCACTGTGTATTTCCCATCTTCTACAGTTTTAAAACTCTGTTAAGACTTACACAGCTTACACCTATAGAGGACTGTAAGCCCAGTAAATTCTCAGGTCAGATATTGCAGGGAAACATAAATCTCTTTCCCAACCACTCCTTTTCAATCATGTATACTCTTTATGCATACATAAACAACATTATTCCCTCAAACTGTTTGTTAAAGAAATATTGTCCATCTCAAGTGACAAAACCATACTATGTATAGATCTAGGAGAGATCTTTCTAATGATCTGCTGTGCCTTTCCAATAATTTAATTGGTATCCCTCTTAAATTAGCTACCAGACAGATGGACCAGGCATTCATCTCCAAAGAATTAAAATTATGGAGACAGACAAATCACACATTAGATTACAAGACACAGTTAAGGCTTTTTACATGTTCCCTGTTCTGCTGAGAAGACAGATGGTGCTCCTTCAGCAAAAGCAGGAGATGAGAACAAGAAGAAAAAACTCATTTAGCACACAGAGAGAGCGAACTTTGTATATCACTGCTTGCACAGAATCCAAATCCATGTAATCCAAGGCTGCAACACTTCAATTGCTGGCTCATAGCTTCAGTCTATGCTTGTTAATAGTTATATGTATGTAACATTAAGACACTACATATAAAGCTCATCATACATAAACATCTCTATGAATTAGGGCTTTGGATTACATAGCACTTCCAGATCAGAGCCACCATTATGTTCCTTAAACACCTTTTGCAGTGGGGACTCTGCTCTGAGCCTGGCTCTTGCATACTACAGTATAAACTTAAAACAAATAAATAACGCCAGTCAAATGTTTTCACAGAAAATAAATCTCCTAAAACAACTTGCTTTCCTTTTTTGATGAGATTACAAAATTGGCCTAGAAAGGCACCTGCACAGATTTCAAGCATGCTAGATATCATAAGCGGCTTGACATTGTATTGGCATTTTTTTCCCCTGAGTAAATACTATTGCTATCAAACATCAAGAAAGCACACAGAATAGATTACAAGCTGTCTAACTAACAAATCTCATAAAGTAACTGGCAATAGAAAATTTTCTTCATTAGTGATCAGAAAGCAAATACTATGCTAAGACTTTAAAATGGCAAGTGAGAGAACAATAAAGAACGAACTGCACTGTTTGCAAGCCTGGGCGTAATATTGAAATGCATTTAAACTCTCCCAGGCGGTGTAAGGTCCTCCCAGGTAGAAGCAGAGAGCAATCTCCCCTAGCCTGGAGATAGCCCAGGACAAAGTGAATCTGAGAAGTACTCCAGGATCACAGTGAACTAGCTTCACAAGCTCCCAGTGCAACACTAGACAACTCTATCTTGGATACCTCATCAACAGAGCAGAAAAAGCAGGGATGTAGCGGTGAGTATGCTTCCAAGCACACCGATACCAAGAGGCATCTGGAACCCCGTCACTTGTGCGGAACTAAGCTAGGGTTAGAACAGACATCACAAGACTCTTGCTTTGTGGTGAGACATTTAAGAAGTTCACCTTCAATTGCCAAAACCATGGGATCGTGTAAAGGGGAAAGACTCAACAAAAACAGCAACTGCAAATTAGTTCTAGAGAAATTTAATTAAGAGAGATCCACATTTTTTAACAGGGAGGTTGACTGACCAAAACCTACAGTATAAATTGATAATTCTCTTTCTCTTCAGTTCCTCAAATCAAGACCAAAGAGCATTTTGGAAAATATGCTTTAAAAAAAAAGTTAGTGGAATCTGTGCACAGATAATAAAATAATAACACAACTTGGATTATATAGGTGGTTAAATAAGCAAGTGGTCTCTTTGCACTACAACTTTACAGGGCTGTGTTATTGAGCATTGTGTGTCTGCAGACTCAGGAAAAAGTGAAAACCTGAACAACCTTCTTTACAATGCCAATATAAAGACAGGAATTTTAAATACTTTACTCTTTAGAAGTTTGCATGTACCTCTATGTGGCAATGTTTTCTAAAATTATTAAATTGGTAAAGTAAATTAATGTCAACTTTTTTTTCAAATACATACTTCAAAATACTATTGTTAATAAACTCAGAAGGCCACTGGGAAGGGGTATTCAATCTAACAGCTGAGAAGAGCAAACATTCTGGTAGTGATTCTAGAGGGTGGCTTCAATGGTGCATCTGGATTCATGACATTAAATGGACATGTTCTCATAAGGTATCCAGGCATACAGCTCGTTAAAATCAGTAAGAATCAACTCCAGCTAGTCTGAGGTTTGCAGCAGTAAGGAGGTGATATTCTCCATTTTTACTCCAAGAATGCAAACCATGTGAAAAGTACACAAAATGGGCCTGCTGTTGTTTTTTCAGATGCACTCTGTGGAGGATGGCATATGATCTGTAAGTATAATAAGTGGATCACTAAGGACTGCTGCCAAGAAACCAACAGCAACCTGACACAAGGAATAGGACTCTAAAAATGGTCTTGTATTACTTAATATTCAACACACCTTTTAGGAAGAAAGTATTTTTTTAAATGTAGCCTTGTTCGGGATTGACAAAAAGAAGTGTAATACCTGCTGAGGTGAATGGACTTCATCCAACAGCAACAAGAGCTGAGATGTACAAAGAAATTACCATAGCTCAGGTGATGCACATTAAGTTGTCAGATGGTAGCAACTGCAGCATGTATTTGGGCCCCAAACCAGACACAGTATCTTGAGAGGGTTTGGGTTTTTTTAAATTAAATATTAATGTAATAAAGCACATAGACACCATGGTGACTGCTCAAAAATGCCCACACATACCTACATATGGAGAAAATACTAACACTCTTCTAGAGTATTGTGTGTGCCCTACATTAAAGTCAAAAGATTTTGAGGATAACAGAACCAAAAAGAACGCTTTCCCCACCCAGGGCTGACTCACAGCAGGCAGAAGAGCCTGCTGACATCCTCTGTCAAGGAGCACAGCTTAGCTGATGTGCATGCTGCCCTGGAAGGCCCATGAGCTGTGGTCCTCCAGCTTTCTTCTCACCTGTTCGTGGCCAGTTTGTCCTGCCATGGAACTGTTCCCCATGTATATCCATGCTAGCAGCATGGAGAGACACATACTCTCAGTTAGGACTCCTTCTCAGTATACCCATGGTTTTATGCAAGGGTGAACATCCTACTTTGACAAACAACAAGTTCTACATTAATTTATTACATTAAAGATCTGACTTCATAGCACAAAATTAGGTAACATGCATTTTATGAAATTCTACTCTTGGTGTAAAAAAATAAAGATTTCACTGAATTCAGGAATTTTTCCTAAAGCAGAGTTAAACGTGTTTGTATAAGATATTCTACATTTTACATCTATAGAAAGATGAACGGACATGACAATTATGCACTTTATTTATGAACCAAAATTATTACAACTTTACAGTGAAAATAAAACTATGCAGTTAATACACTGCAGCTAGTTACTGGAATAGAACTGTTTATAATAAATCTTGTATTTTTCTTCCTTACATATATTTAAGAAATGATTTTACCTAAATTCCAAGGAAGAGATGAGTAGAAGATAGACATCGTGCTGGGAGTGTGAATAAGTAATCAGAAGCATCTATATAAGAGAAACAAAACACCTCACTGACTCTTATCCAGGTGCCTACACAAACCCATGCCATTTTCTGCAAAAGCCATCTGTTACGTAAAACAAGAGCCTTCCTACACACTTCTACAAGGGAAAAGATGAAATAGATTTCGAGGAAGGTATACCAGAACTATCCTCAGGGTAATAACTAGTGTATTAATTAATCATCAAACACACTACCACCAAGATACTGTGAACAATGCAGAATTAACTCATGTAAAATTACAGACATTCTTAAATCTGCACTACAGCTGGAGTTGCTATTGACTAGTTTAATTCCCTTATTCAAACCACAAACCTCCCACTTCAGATTTGACTTCCAACCCTGAATGCAGTATCCCCACCTCCCAACACATGGTACATACTTCACAGGTATCTAAGAAAGAGAACATTGTACATCTATCAGTCAGAAATCACTCACCTGTCTTTCCTACTGTCTGTGCAATGCAGCAAATATAGACTTAATATACTACCTGCTAAATTTCTTCCTTAAACATATATAATATCACTTATTTATGTATTTTAATACACATCATCCACTATCTGCAGGTTTACTGTTTACAGAGAACTTTATGCATCCCTGCTAAGCTAGCCAAAAATCCAAGCAGACTGGCTTATAATACAGTACGTGTTGCAGGTACACTGCTTGTGAACAACCTGAAATAAGCAGGACAATCTCCTCAAAACACAGAAGGTACCAGATGGACTTAAAACTCAGGTTACAACAGATTTTTATCTCCAGGTAGTATTCTGCATTAAACTGACTTAATTTGACTGCTTTTTTAATCCATGTAAGTACCTCTGAGAAGAATAATTTTGCAGAACAGCTGCTTGAGGAGTAACACGAGATGCTCCATCCTTTCTGACATTTAAGCTTACACTACACAACTGTCAGGTAACAACACAGCTAAGAAATGTTTTGCACTGGAAGCAATATCAACAGGATGGGGTCCTTTCTGTGTCCGAAATTCTTATGGATCATTTTTTTATACTTTTAAGTTCCCCAAACACTGCCACTTAGCAGCTCTTCCGTGCTAGTTCTAACTGTGCAGGTTAAACTAGTTCTAAAATCTGCTCAACTGACAACGTGTAGAATATTTCAGCTGGGTTACCTCTCTTTTGCAGCACCACTAAAGAGTGACTGAAGTAGTAGTCTTAAGAATTTATGAATAAAACAATATTTGAATTAGATTCCAAAAGCCAGTTCTTGAAACTAGTATCAAATAAGCTGAATTATTATAAAGCCAATATGATAAGAATGCTGAAAAAATTTAGTTTCTCTAACAAGTTAAACCATCACAAAGTGAATAATTACAAACAAAAATTCCCCCCAAATTAACTGAAACACATCTAAAAGATTTTGCGTGCTTGTCTGACCCTTGGGGACTTCATATCATCCTTTATCATGTGGTTTCTTCAGACTCCTTTTTCCTCTAAAATTGCTTTAAACAGCCTCCCACCTCCTGGCCATCTATAAATTTCACTTTCCAAATACAATACATCCCTGGTTCATTATTTTGTCCCTTGTCTGATTTTTTTCAGGAGAGAAGGAATTGGGGTCAAAACAGAAAAGCCAAAAAGAGCCATTTTTTTGTTTGTTTGTTTTCGGAAGGAGGCTTGAAAAGTATTTCACCATAATGAAGTTTCATTTCAGTTTTTTACAATGTTACTTTTTGCAACAGAGGTTGGCTGTTGTCATGCAGAAGAAGTTTATCTACATTTATTACAAAATGTTCCCTTTTGTTTTCTTTTTTCATGTTAGGTCTACTGAGCTTCCTGCAACAACAGCGGTTACAGAAATGGCCACTTTCACAGCTTCTCAGCCAAACAGTTCCACCTGCGACTTATATGAGCACAAAGACACAGCACGGATACTTCTGTCTGTCTTCTACAGCTCCATCTTAATTCTTGGGGTGCTTGGAAACGTCATTGCTCTCACTGTCATTTTTAAAAACAGAAAGAAGATCAACTCCACTACCCTCTATTCAACAAACCTTGTCCTCTCTGATCTCCTGTTCTGCATTGCCCTGCCTACAAGGATAGCATACTATGCCCTGGGATTTCACTGGCCCTTTGGAGAAGCGTTATGTCGAATAACCGCTCTCTTGTTCTACATCAACACCTATGCAGGTGTAAACTTCATGACATGTTTGAGCATTGACAGGTTTTTTGCTGTTGTTCACCCCTTCCGATACAAGATCAGAAGGATTAAGTATGCCAAGGGCATTTGTGTCTTTATCTGGTTTCTTGTGTTTAGTCAAACTTTCCCGTTACTTATACAGCCCATGTCACAGGAAGAAAAAGAAAGGACTACATGTATGGAATATCCAAACTTTGAAAAAATAGCACATCTACCATTTATACTTCTTGCTGCCTGTTTAGTAGGGTACCTTATTCCCCTGGGGATTATACTATTTTGTTATTCTCAAATTAGCTGCAAACTTTTTCAAACAGCCAAAGAAAATCCACTGACTGAAAAATCAGGGATAAACAAAAAAGCCATCAATACAATCATATTTGTTATTGTAGTGTTCATCATCTGCTTTACCCCGTATCATGTTGCAATCATACAACACATGATTAAGAAGATCCAGAATGAGCCCTCATGCACTGAAAATAAAATTTTCCAGAAGTCACTTCACTATACTGTGTTTCTGATGAATTTTAACTGCTGCCTAGATCCTTTCATCTATTTCTTTGCATGCAAAGGATACAAGAGAACTGTAATGAAAATACTGAGACGACAAGTGAGTGTATCAATTTCAAGCGCAGCCAGATCGCACCATGAAGAAAGCTCACGCGACGTGGGAGAAACACAAATGACGGTACTCGCAAAATCCTCCAATGGAAAGCTACCTGAAAAATAAAGTCTGTAGTGCACCACACTGGAGCAAGCTTAAAAATTCAGGGTCCACAGTAAAAAAAACCTCTTAGTGCTCCCTGTACAGCAGCTAAAGTAAGATTCTGTTTCTCAGCATGTAAGGAAAACAAGGAGTGATGTTGGACTGAAAAAGAATTGACACAGGACAGCAGGAAAACCCAGCGTTGTAATTTCCTAGCTGTATAATTTCGACTGATCTCATTATTTTTTCCAGGAAATATGCACCACTGGGAATGTTCAAATTCCATACTGCACATACGTATGCCTGGATGTTATTAACGTAAGCAAAGACTCGATTCACAGTTTGGGTGTCTGAGAAAGGATTAAAGAGTTTACAATTCAGACTGACTACAACCAGAATATCTGGAAATTGCAAGGCCTCTTGCTGAGCTCCACTTACAGCAATGGTTTTGTCACCCAAGTCACACAAGCAAAGGAATCAAACTTTGAGATAAAATGGACAATTTCTGCACACGTTTTACTATTACAAGTGCTTATTTTATAACCCTTTGGAGGTGAAACTGTATTAGATAAAACTGTCAAACACAATAGATGAAAGGTTAATGAACTGTTTGGTTCTCCCCAACACTGAATATCTCCTGTATGTCAAATCACTCATCTTTACAAGGTGTATTATCTCTTTACTCTTCTTCCTAAAGGAGAACTTTTCTTTCTAGTGTGTATTGTAAAGAGTGTCTACTCTAGTTGTATATAAATTATTTATGAACACAAAAAAATAAGGTGAAACAACAGACTGTAATATGAAAACTGTACCGTTTTGGTTAAAAGAACAGCGATACGAGGTTCTTCAGAACTTCTGCTGAAGTCTGACATAGACACAAGACAAACATTTTAGAAACAGGAATAAGTGTTCACAGCTGAATTCACCAAAAAGTAATCTAATGGGTTAATTCTGATGGTGTGAGATGGCCATCTCTTTTTAAGCACTGTTTAACTGAGAGATCAATAAATGAGAACAGGCGGATTGGCTGTAAACGAACAAGCTTTCCCATCACACCTTTACACAGTGTATCTGGGATCCTCTTGGGCATGCTGAAACTGGGCCAGCAAAGAGACCAAATGGTTTAAACACATCCTGCTGGAATCGGCTCAATCCCAGTCGAGCATCCAGGATGCAAGCCCTGAGTTCCTGCTGTCGTGCCCTTCCGTCATGTGTCAGTTTCCTTCCCTACTTTATTCCTGGCCTGTGTGTTTTTTCTTTTGTCCTCTATCTTATTAATATGCCTTCACCTGCCAACACAACTTGGTAATTGCACCATGAGGTTGTGATGGAAAAGGAAAATTAAAGAGTGCCTGATAATTAGTGGTAAAAGATATGCCAGATGTCAGAATAAATGTTATTTATTGCAGTTGTATCTCTCCAGCATTGAGGTTGTACTGGAAGTCAAACAAACATAGTTACACTTATCTTCTTTGCACTTCTTTCCTCACGTGTTGACCTCCACTTACCTGCCAAGACGGAAGGGTTATATCTGAATAGCAGTACGGAAACATCAAATTAAAAATTACTTTCTTAGGGGAAAGAAAATGCAAAAGAACCTGTATTTCATACCATTTGGACTGTAAAAATTGAGTTTCTAATTACAAAAGACACTATGCAGCTACAGGAAAATGGAGTAAGAAAAATATTTTTTAACAGAAGTTCTACTTAATTCTGTATGCTACAGCAGTTTGGTTCTTGTCAGCTTTTTTAATAAACTATTTTAAAATATTATTTAAGAATTTGTTCCTATTGAAGTAAGCAAATTATAACCCGACAAAACCACACACAGACCACTCATGAATAACTAAGAGTTGTAGTAGTAAAATATATGTATTATGAACATCACACCCATACAAACTCATTTTATTCTACTAATGTCTGTTTTTTTATTTTTGATATGTGTTTCATCTAATTGTCATTATAAAACCCTAAAGGCATGAAGTCTTTTTTATATTTGTCTGTAAAATATAACTCAAATATATATTCACAGAATCACAGAATGTCAGGGATTGGAAGGGACCTCGAAAGATCATCCAGTCCAATCCCCCTGCCGGCGTAGGAACCTAAATGAGATCACACAGGAAGGCCACATAATGCAGACATGTACTCTGTTCTAAGTGGAAACAAAGTGAAGATCTGTATTGAAAATATTTCTCTATCCTCGTTTTCTCACATTAGCAATTCTGTTATTTTCAAATTTAGACTTTGTTTTTAAATCACATCAACATTCTCCAACAGCTAACTTCACATCAAAATACCTCTTTTGCTCTAATAAGCCTTAGCGTTGGTCCAGTTAGATACAGGCTTGAGAAAAGCCATTTTTTTCTCCTTGTTCTAATATTTCTCAAATGCCAAAGAAACCAATAAAATAAACCCCTTTAAAAGCTAAGACAAGCGTAGCTTCCTGACAAGAGCCCTAAAGGCACAGACACACAGGGACGATTTACAGCTGTGGAGGCCGATGGCAGCTCTTCCCCTCAGGACTCGTCAGCACAGACGCGCAGCTCAGGCCCGCTCGTACCCATGAGGAGCCTCCGACCACACAGCCCATTGGAAACTGCCCAAAGCATCGCAGGTGGTTTCAGTTCCCTGGGACACTGCATTCCAGTCGTTTAGTGAGCATCTGTCCTAGTTCTTCTGCCAGCTGTGCTGTGGGGCTGGTAGCCACCACCAGAGAGATGGTAGCAATCTGCTGCAGGGGAGCAAGTGAGAGCTGTAATACTGGAAATTTACAACTGTTCTTAAACAACTGGTTTTCTTCAAGATGTCCTCATCCATTCATCTCGCTGGTACTCTTCCCCCAGCACTGTTTGTTGGAATACTTTTACGACAGCAGTTACCTGTAGTGGCACACCTTAGGTCCCTCTCCTCCTGCATGTCACACAGACATGAATAAAGGGGATAAAGCCATACCTGGTATCTCTTTTCTCCAACATCGAGTATACAATGGATATGACTGTCTTAAAAGACATGAACATGCCACGCCATGCAACACGTGGCTGAAGCAGTATGAGCTTTGCAAAAGAAAATGAGCTTTTGCTTTGGCAAAAGCTTTTGAGACTTTCTAGGAGATGCCCCCTTCTACTTGAAAGGCTGGGAAACAGCCATACAGATCTGGATGGCTCACCCACCCTTTTCACGTGTAAGTAAAGCAGTTGACAACTAGCAGGAGGTTCAAATGGCTTCCTCATTATGAGGATCTGACTGAGGTTCTTTGGAGAAACTAGGTCTCTGTTTGGAAGGTGAAGTCCAGTCAGGATCTTAAAACCCATGTTAATGAAGAAATGATAGAACACCTTTTAACTGTACACTTTGGAGTACAGGGCTAGGGCAGTTGCTAAGAGGACACCAAATAGACTATGTGTCCACTGCTGAACTCTCTCTCAAATCTCATCTGGTAGGGAATGTGACAGAGCACATAAAACTAAAAATGATGCTGGGGGTCAAATGGTACATTTGGCACTCTCTGTCCAAGTCCAGAAAACGAAGTTGCATAGACATCTATTGTTGAACACACGGCCAAGTGAAGGCGCATCATGTGAAAAATCCCAAAACAGACTTGCATCTTCAGCAAAAGAGCATTCGGTGCCTTCACCTTTTCTTTAGCTGAGAATGCAAAACTCGGGACTCCTACTGCAAGTGCTCAGGGGGGTCCCCTCAGCCGCCTTGGCTCAAAGGTACTGAAGCCTAACTGGAAGTGTGGAGATAAAGGATACAATCTCCTTTGGCATACTGTCCCAGCAGAAGAGGACAGATATTCTCCAAGGCATCACTGCCTGACTCTTTTGGCTGTGGTCCTGAAAGCTATGCAGATGAGGAACCTGTCAGCAACATAGTCATCCTTCTAGCAAAATACAGTAACAGCAACGGTCCAAAGCGGTAAATGTGCTACGGCAAATAACATGATTCCTGAAGGTGGTTAATGACTCCTCTTAAACCACCAACCTCATTAGTATAAAGAAAAAAAATGGAGGGTTTGGGGTTTTTTTAAACAGATGTTGCATTAAAGACTAACATTGTTCTGAAACTCAACAGCTTTCGGGTAAGCAAGGAATGAAGAGACTCCAAGAAAACAAGGAGACAGCCTGCAACATAAGAAAAGTAAATAGGGTGCAGCTGAAGAGGAGAAGAGAAGCTTTGCCTTACACAAGCAGTTCTGGAGGAACTGAAAAGCAGTGATGCACTTGGTCTCTTCTATCTCCACGTCTCTGTGGTACAGAGCAGGAGAAGAACTTAAAACAGACTAAGGTTTCCATCTTAGCAGTATCCCACTGTGCTGGCTCAATACAGACAAGGTCAATGGACACCAAGAAACATTAGAAAAACATCCAATTCATCTAAAGGGAATATTTCCTAATACAGTCTTGGCTAAGCTGCAGCCTGCACACTAAGGCTATATGGTACAAAATGAACTCAGTCAAGCTGTAAACTTTTCTGAAAAAAAACCCAAAAAAAACCCCCCAAAACAAAAAACCCACCCCCACCAAACACCACCAAAACCAGGGAAATTGCTGTTTGTGTAGCAAATGTTGAGACATATTTCCTCAACTTTTTTCCCCCTCAGAATACCTTCTTGCCTTCCTGCAATATCTAACTTTGGACTTCCTGAGGCAATGTCATCTTTGCACATTAACAGTCCTCAATCAATTTTTCTTCCATCAGCCTGTCTGGTCCCTTTTTGAACTCAAATAAAATGTCTGTGCCTGCAGCATCTTGCAGCAAGAATGTCTAGAGCCATTTTCTTTTGCTTGTGACACCTGTTAGTTTCATTTGAAGTCCCCAGCTTCTTGTTCTAGAAATGAGCAAACACAGCCACTCCCTATTTATCCACGTTTCTCATGATTTTACAGACCTGAATCAAATCCCATTCCTTCAAGTCATCTAGTCTCTTCTATGAACAGTCAGATCAAAGCTGTTCACCACTTTGTCCAAATTATAAAGGAAGGAAAGAAGGCAAGTTCAAAGAAAGAATGGAAATCCAACAGTGTTCAAGACGGGTGGCAGGAGAACAGGCCTGTGACCTCACAGCCAAACACGTACAGGACTGTGTTCGAAAGAATATCGAGGGAACCAATCTTTCCCTTCCATTCAGTACTTGTGAGATCATACCTGGAGCCCTGTACCCAGTTTTGGACTTCCCAGTACAAGAAAGATACTGACATACTGGAACAAGCCCAGCAGAGGGCCATAAAAAACGATGAAGGGGCTTGCAGCACG